TTTCTTGCCTTATTCATGTTTTGGTACCTGCACATTTAATGAAGCCATAGCTGAAAGTTTCCAGAACCTGATCACAATGGGCATAAAGTGTAAGGCTACAGAGAGCTAAAAGGAATAGTGTAATTATATAACACACAACTTCACCCTTCCAAGGCAGCATGTCTGCATCTTCTTGTACAAATACATTAACTATTAACTTGGGAAGCCAAAGAGTTAAGAGTCTGAATTGTATTGACAAGTAGGTTGGAACAGCTGGAACTCTGTGCATGTCCTGAAGCTGTGTGAGAGAACTGGCTTTGCTCTGAGTGTGTCATTGTGGTGAATCAGGGAAAGTTCCTATTGTGTGAGTTAGTGCTGGTTTAAGCACATGCCTGCCACAAGGAGGAGACTGCAATTGCCCTAATTAATTCCGGAATCTAGTGCCATATCTAATGCACGCAACACCTATAATTCAGCCATTAATCAAATCATTTCCAGTGAATGACTAGAGCCAGCTGGCAAGCATATCTTGGCTTAATTAAATCCAACTACTCTCTTTTTGGGACGCAGGTGGCGCTGTGGGTTAAACCACAGAGCCTAGGACTTGCCAATCAGAAGGTCGGCAGTTCGAATCCCCGCAATGGGGTGAGCTCCTGTTGCTCGGTCCCTGCTCCTGCCAACCTAGCAGTTTGAAAGCATGTCAAAGTGCAAGTAGATAAATAGGTACCGCTCCGGTGGGAAAGTAAACGGCGTTTCCGTGCACTGCTCTGGTACGCCAGAAGCGGCTTAGTCATGCTAGCCACATGACCCGGAAGCTGTACGCCGGCTCCCTCGGCCAATAAAGCAAGATGAGCACTGCAACCCCAGAGTCGGTCACGACTGGACCTAATGGTCAGGGGTCCCTTTACCTTTACCGTACTCTGTTTTTGCATTTCCTGAAAAGTACAAGTTTGTCCCTCTTGTAGCAAGTGTAAGATCACCTTACAGGAATTAATTTTGAGAAGGTGAAATGTACCTGTGACTTGGCTTTAGCCCTGTATCATGACACTTAGTGGACATGACTCAGAATGACCCATAAGCTTTGCAAAAAGCTTTTTCATATTCAGGAGAAAGTTATAGGATACATTTTTCTTGTAACTGGGTGGGCATGGCACCCCCTGCATATTCAGCTCTTTGGAATCAGTCCTAGAGGCTGCTCAATGCCACTCTTTTTCAGACATGTTATAACTCAGGCCCTGGAGCCAAATGTGGCCCTCCAGGATTCTCTATTTGGCCATTGGGAGACTCCATAAGAGTCTCGCAAAGGCCACACTCCCCTTGACTGCTTTTGTATGGCTTGAATGTGCTACTGAACTGCGATAATGCCTCTTGCTTTTCTGGAAGGAAAGTGCAAGTGGCTATGCATTCTCTTTCTTCTTAACCATAGCTAGATCCCTTCCTTGCCTCATTTCCCACATTCCTTGCCCCTGCTTTGTTGAATGTTCTTCGAAGCTGCCCTAATTCCATTTCCCAATGTTGAAGGATACATTAAACACAGGCACTTTGAAGTAATGATATACATCCAGAAAACTGGATAGCAGAATATATTTATCTACTAAAATTGCATTTACTTGTAGGCTTTTTACAATAAGTTTGTTTTAAAACCTAATGCAAGAACCTTAAAGATGAGTCTGAAAGCAGTGCTTCGAGAATCACAAAAAATACAAGTTTTAGGAAAGGAGGCCAGAAGCAAAAAAATGCATTCTCTAGAAATCTTCATGTCCTCCTTATGCCAAAGTTTGCTTGTACAGTGGTACCTTGGTTCTTGAACAGAATAAGTTCCAGGAGTCCGTTCGACTCCCGAAACCATTCAAAAACCGGAAAAATAGGAGCTGATTTGTTTGGGAGCCAAGGCGTTTGAGATCCAAGGTACGACTGTATTGGCCATTGTGTTATTGGCTATTCCACAAGCTCAGTTGCCTGTTTGTCTTTTACACTATATGCATTCAATTGTGGGTTGGGGATGATGATGAATAACACATACAAACAAGAGAGTACTACTAGGAACAAAACTGAATTGAACTGCCTTACCACCATGAGTGAAATGAAGTAGGAGTTAAACTTCAAGAAAGTGGTAATCTCTCACTTCCTTTCTCAAGGATTTATCACTTATATCCTCACATAACTGCCAGTACATCTAGTCAGATCTATCAGTTTTAGTATTTCAGGATACAAACCACAATACCTCTTCATACCAAAACTGTATTTTCACATGACTTGCACAACCAGTAGTATGGGTGTGTCACAGAAAATACAGGTACCTTTGCTTCCAGGACTGTTCTGTGCTCATTTTGGTGAAGCCTGCTGTACAAGATACATAGCCTGTACCAGTCCAACAGCCATGTAGAGAGCCAGGAGCCATAAATATTCATATATTCATATAGAGACAAGGATGTATGAAAGAGCAGACATACTAGATCAGAACACTGCTCCATCCAGTTCAGCCTCCAACAATAAGCTTCTGTTGATTCAGTACTTTTATTTATCCAACTTATACTCAGACAATAACTACATATTAAATACTATTCATAATAATAATAATAATAATAATAATAATAATAATAATAATAATTTATTATTTATACCCCACCCATCTGGCTGGGTTTCCCCAGCCATTCTGGGCGGCTTCCAACTGAATATTAAAAAAAAGTACAGCATCAGACATTAAAAACTTCCCTAAAGAGTTGTCTTTTAAAAGTAAAATAGTTGTTTATTGCTTTGACATCTGCTGGGAGGGCATTCCACAGGGCAGGCGCCACTACCGAGAAGGCCCTCTGCCTGGTTCCCTGTAACCTTACTTCTCGCAATGAGGGAACCGCCAGAAGGCCCTCAAGTCAATATATATATTTTTCTGTACTTGAAGTTAAAATTTGCCAGTTTGCAACATAAAGCAAGCATTCTTTTAATCCTTTGTGATGAAATGTGCAGGACTTTCTCCTCAATATATTTTGCTATTATTTAAATGCTTTGCTTCCCTCAAAATTCCTCTGATGTGGAAAGCCCTATATTCACTATTTAAACTTCATTTTAGGCAAAACTTGAAGGAAATTCATTTGTCTTATTTCAAAGATTTTTAGGCTGCCCTTTATAAACATGATCAGGACAATGCACAGAATTAAAATATATGTCATCATTAAGACAAAGCAGAAACAAAACAGCACAGTAAAGTTCAGTACAAAAAAAGTTTGAACCAGGAATAGAAAAGAACACACCACGTGTTGTAAATCTACTCAGCTATCGATAAAGAACTTGTATTGCCTCTTGACATAGGAAGAATGAATGAAAGAGATGTACAATGGCATTCAAGTACGAGGGTGATTCATGTTTGTAGAGTGTATTTTCTGTGCATTCCTAAAATTACTTTCAAAAAAGATAGTATAAAATTACTTAATGCCATCCAGCATTAAGTATATCTTTTTATTTGTGGCCATGCCTGTTCATGCCTGGCTTTAGTAATTCAAAATGATTCCTGGATTCAGTTATCTTTTATTTGCGATCTCTAATCTACAGCAGCACACCAGCAACAGACAGCATATCAAAGACTTAACAAAGCCTGAAAAGAAGGAAGTTTTTCAAAGATTTTAACAAAAAAAGTTGCATAGTGTTCTTCATATTTGAACCATTTTATGTTCCCGTCCCTTTTCTTTTCCTGTTCTTCTGAAGGCAGCAGCCATTGTGCATTAAGCCACACCCCTGTTGGCAATCATTTTGTGACTAGTGTCCTTGGCACTTCCTCAAAATTCCAAATGTGTCCCAGACCCAAAAAGGTTGGCAACCACTGTTGTACAGTAACTAATGGAAAATATATTCAAACACATCTACCTTTTAAATTTAGTTTTCCTACCCCAAAATACTAAAATGCATGGTACAATGTTGTTGATTTTCCTTGTGAGGTAGACTAGGATGAGAAGAACTTGCCCAAGGATATCTAAACAACTCCATGTTGTGTAGATTTTATCTAGAATAACGTGACCATACCAAACTCTTCAATATGCCAGCATGTCACCATTGCAGACAAAACCAAACACACAATTCAATATCTATGTTTAGAGTTATAAAAATGCACACAAAACTTCAACTTTCCATTGTCTGCTTATCTGTCTGAGATGCTTAAGTTTTACTGTGCTCTTTGAAGGGCTGATTCACACATTTTTCTTCACATACAGGTGTAGAAAAAACTAAAGATGTGAAGGCCTGGGAAACCCCGCAGGAAAAAAATAATCCAGTTTCTTTCTGGACTTTTACATCTCTAGGAAAAAGGGTATAGAACAAGAATACCTTAATTAATTTATTTTCGAATGCTAACATATTCCAAAAATGTCTTACACATGATGGTGTGGTTTTCTGTACACAGACCTTCCTACATTTGTGTTAGGAAAATGCCATATCTTAGGTGGCCTTAGAGTATCAATTAAAAATTGTGAAACACATTTCAATACTATTATAAAGCATGAAAAATACAGTGGTACCTCGGGTTACATACGCTTCAGGTTACAGACTCCGCTAACCCAGAAATATTACCTCGGGTTAAGAACTTTGCTTCAGGATGAGAACAGAAATCGTGCTCCAGCGAAGTGGCAGCAGCTGGAGGCCCCATTAGCTAAAGTGGTGCTTCAGGTTAAGAACAGTTTCAGGTTAAGAATGGACCTCTGGAACGAATTAAGTACTTAACCTGAGGTACCACTGTATTAGAAAGCAGTAGCAATATTTTATTCTATTCTTTGTGCTAAATGTTCTCCCCTTCCCGCGATCCTGGGCGTACTGCAAAATCCATTTAGGAGCCACTAAGCTGTTGCCACATTTACACAACATGTATGGTAATAGTTTCATATACTTTTTGCATGGTTTTAAGGAAGCAATAGGCAACTGGCCACCATAAAAATAAAGAAATATCAATGTGTATTATTACAAGTTCATTTTATATCATAAACCTCTAGCTCACATATACCTGTATAACCACAATCTATACTTTTTGTCCTTACCTTGCCTCCCTCTCTTTCAAAGTCAACGTACTCTCGGGTTGGTGTCTGCCGTTGCTCCCCTTGCCAGCTGGCCGGAAAAAACTGGAGAGACAGATTGGTTCCTGTGGCCACAAAAGCCTTTTAGAAAAATCAATACAAACAGGATCAGGGAGCAAGACATTACATAAATTATGCAGGCAGAAATTTATTTTTACATCAGTTTATGTCTTTAAAGCTGAGCAGCACTAAGAATGCTCAAAGTAAAAAACATGCACTCATCATTTTTCTTAAATATTAAGTTACAAACATCTGATTTCATTTTGACAACATTTGCCATTGGCTGTCTCAGATATAAGATACAACACATAATCAATACTTTACTTTCTGAAAATTCTATACTGGTTTACAGTGCAAGTCTGACTAAGTGGTTTGAATGTTTTAAGGGGTGCTTATATTTTAAGTGCAACTTATAAGTAAAAAGCTTTAACTCTGCACAGTTGTATAATGAGGGAAACACAATGTGAAGCAAAGGTTTGTGAATTCTCATTTGAAAAGAAAATGTATCTCAAGCTGTCTCCATCGCCAGCAACAAATGAACACACACAAGATTAATGTACACCATACAAACTCACTAGAGGAAGTACAGCAGTAGGATGGGAAATGAACATAGATACTGAAAGTAACATTTTGATTCAAACATTGCAGCTGCAGATAAGCAGCCAAGAGCATTTCTTAAAGTTTTGTTAGAAGCCAGTCTTTATAGGCAGCTGCTGTCTTTTTTTAAACTAAAAAACCCGACTGTTTTGAATAACACAACTAAATCAATTCCTGATTTTGAGTGTACTTCTCACTGATTTTTGTAAAAATACACATTCACTATTTTGGTTTTTAAAAGAGATTAATATTTTGTTCCATCATCATCTACTTTCCTAATGTGGTGACCCGATAAAAGAACCCCCCAATGCCTAAAGAACTGACTGCTATAATAATTCAAAGTTCACATTTAAGTATCAGCCATTCTTTAATTATTTCAGCATTCATTAAACACTGAACACCTTTCAAATTTATGGCTATGGATCCCTGCCAATAAAGACTGTTATAGAAAGGTAGTCAAAAATCTGCAATTCTTTCTAAGATTCAGCTATAGTTAACAGGGCTAGAAAATAGAAATGTCATTAATGATAAAACTTTCAAGTTATGTCCCAAGTTAATAAACTGACAGCCACCAAGAAATATTCTATCCTACACCAAGTCAATAATGCCACATTATATGGTCACAACAAAGAGGGAATAGGTGAAATAGCTACTATACCATCAAATCAAGACCTACATACCAGGCATCTAATTTCAAAAAAGTTTCAAAATCCATTTTAGGAAGCTCATTAAGAGCACAGAGTAGAACTCTTTAGAAGCATTCTAATATACACTAAAATCTCTGCCAGGATACGTGGGCACAGATTTCAATGCTAAAAGGTCACACTCCTGATCTCCAGTTTGTTAAACATAACCCCTCTAATAGCAAATTCAAATAATTGAATCTCTGCACCAGGGGACATAAAAGATGCTGAGGTGGGTGTGCTAGGTAGTCTGTGTGAATCTCTCAGTTAATTCAATGACTGAGGGTGACTGAGCCATGCAGTATTTAAGGGGTGTGTGAGAGAGAGATAGAAGGAGCTCTGGGCCTATTCGAGCCCCTGTATCCTAAAGGTGACCATTAGAGTTGGGGGAAATGCATACCATGTTGTTTTAAAAAGCATCCTTCTCCATGCATAATGTTCACCCTCAAACCTATGCCAATAAAGCACTTGGGCTCTGGCCTGGCAATAAGCTCTGAATGCCTTATCACTATATAGTACTGTGGAGGAAAGTTTCAAGAAGGTAAGAAAAAAAGGAGGGGCTCTGCAAACTCTCAACATCACATGGCTCCTCTTTGCTGGAGCCTTGAACCGAAGCATTCTTGTTTAGGACTGAGGATATACTGCAACATTTTGATGCAGGTCCGCACTTGTAAGATTAAATATTTGAATTTAGTGTTTCAACACAAGGATATGTAGTATCATTTCATTCAAGTACAGAAAATGACACACTTACTGTAACTTCAATCAGGTTCATAAGCTATTTATTATTTAGATTAAATATTGAGCCATGCCTCAGAATCGGAACACACCCAAGAATCTACATAGATTGCCAAATGAGGCACATGTGTTACAAGCTTGGAGCCTGCAAGGATTATCAAGGTTCTTGAGACATGGACAAACGTGGCATGAAAGTATTTAATAGTGTATATACTCTTTGATACAATTATCTTACATATACAAATGAGCTGTATTGTAAATATACTGGTATTTTGAATGCCAAGAATGTCACATTAGAATCACTATGAATGAGATATTGAATAAATTGCTAATAAGTAACATTTTGCCAAATATTGTCTGGATGTTTATCCCTAAAACAACAAAATTGTAATTAAAATATTAGCCTAAGACTGTCAGTCAAATAGCATCTACCCATAAAGGTAAAGGGACCACTGACCATTAGGTCCAGTCGTGACCGACTCTGGGGTTGCGGCGCTCATCTCGCTTTATTGGCCGAGGGAGCCGGCATACAGCTTCTGGGTCATGTGGCCAGCATGACTAAGCCGCTTCTAGCGAACCAGAGCAGCGCACGGAAATGCCGTTTACCTTCCCACTGGAGTGGTACCTATTTATCTACTTGCACTTTGACGTGCTTTCGAACTGCTAGGTTGGCAGGAGCATCTACCCATACAAGCAATCTTATTAAAGTTGCTGCCTTAGGTTTCTGTGGAAGCTTTGAATAGACGTATCATGCATAAGCTTGACTGATGGCAATGGCAGAATTTGCTCAAGAGTAGGTCACAGTTGTTATTATATAATAGTGATGGTGACCACTCCTAATTAATGCAACACTCTTTGGTCCATCAATTATCATCTTTAGTACTTCCACAAAATAACGCTCAGGGCCTAGTCATAGCTTTTTATGTAATCATTTGGAGGTCATTGAACTGAATATTGTTTGATATATTGTGTTTTTACTGAGATTATTATACTCACATTTAACTTATTTAACTTGTGTTGCCCACACTGAGACCTTTGGATTAAATACGGTATATGAATACACTTTTAAATAAATATGACTATCATGAGAACCAATGAGCAATTGCACTAGGTATTATGAATATTGTTAGAGCAGATTATAAAACTAATCCACTGTATAATTTTACATTAGCTATCACATGAAGAATTTTATGTGGCTTATGAGGTATGGGGAAGTCCGGGAAGTAAGGTGAAGGAAAATAGGAAAATAAGTTTATGAAATTATACATGTTTATTTGTTTGTATGTTTTGTTCTGTTTTATTGTTTGTTTTTATTACATGTTTGGAAAATTAATAAAAATTATTTAAATAAAAAAAAAGAATTTTATGTGGCTTTGGGGATATGTTATAAAAATAAGTGAGTTTCATTTTGATGTAATGCAGCCTTCTGCAACCTGGTATCCTCCAGATTTTTTTCAACTACATCACCCTTTACCCCGACTACGGCCGATAATGACTGGGGTTGACTTGAGTTGTAGTTCAAAATATTTGGAGGGTACCAGGTTACAGAAGGCTGCTTCACATGAACTTTAAGGATATCATAAAATATAAAGCTTCCTGCTTATGGTGAGAGGTAATTTTAATGTACAGCAAACCTGGGAATGTTAACTATTTGCTTTTGCAGAGTCTGATATATATATTTTTTAAATGGAACTCTATGCAAAATTTAACATGCTTGACCAACAATATAGTATTCAAGAGCAAAATACATTTGTTTTTTGCTTGTTATTGTTATCTATTTTTGGTGTTTTTATATTGTAATCCACCCTGCGGTTCTTGGGTGAAAGGTGGTTTAGAAATTTAATTAATTAATTGTTAAGTCTGAATGAGTGTCAAGCATTTTCTACTTGTTAGTTTTCACCATTAAAATAATATAACGGCTATATTTGGACATCACAATAAACCAAATGTTACTATAACAGTGATTTATTGTGACAGGAACATGTCTACATAAGCCTCTGGTTTGCACACTCCACCTTTCCCAATTCTCTTCCAACGCAGTCATAAGGAGATCAGCTTTTACTTTCATTTTTTGGTTATACACAGTTTATCATCTCATCCAAAACCCTAAACTAAGATTTGGTATGAAGTTGGTTTGGTTCTAACAAACTATAGTTAAGACTAACCACAGTTTGTTGAGTGTTGACAAAATGGTGACTTGCAGTTAATCAAAATGGAAACGAAAGCTTCCTCCTTGCAACTATACCAGAGGCACTAAGAGGAGGGGAAGTGCATGATCTTTCCTAGGCTCATCCCCATCACAATAAGCAATGGTTTATTGCAACATCCAAACACATCCAATGTGAGATCTAAAAAGACAGGCAACATGTTCAGGACAAAAATCAGAGGATTCAGATCAATGCAATTTCTCTATAAGGGAACGATCTACTTTTTTTGTTACAACAGATGGGGTTCATAAGAACCAGCTGCAATGGGAATGTTTCTGTCAAACTGAAAAGAAAAATCATACTGCTGTTTGAACAGTAGCACTGCACAAGCTAGGATAATTGTGACCATTTATGAACTTAAAATCATAGGTCCACAGCAGCAGACCCAGCAGTCACAACTCCTAAAGGGTATGCTGTCTTATTATGAAGAACAAGTACAACACATGTGCTTATTGCCTATCATACCCCAGCCTTCAAACATGGAACTTTCTCTACCAATTTCATTACACATAAAAACAATGCACTTGAAGACAATGGTGGATACAAAAATGTCATATTTTAAGTGCCATAATTCAATAAAATGAACATTGCACAAAATCAACCAGTAGTGGCTAGTGAGCACACAGATCTGATTGAAGAAAAAAGTAAAAACTAAAAGGGGGGGGGAGGGGGAGAGAAAAAAGAAAGTAGTAAAGTAAAACTTAGTTCTAGGCAGTTTTAATACATCAAAATTCCACAGTGCAATGATATAAGCAAGCAACCTACTCCCTTGTATAACATAGTTTTAAAACATGAAGAATTAACTTTTACTACAACCAAGCTCACAAAAGGAATATTTTTAGCTGTAAAACCTAATACAAAATACAACTAAATTGGTAAATATGATTGTTGCTGTTTTCCACCACCAAAAAGCTTTCTGTATTTAGCTGCATGCTAAATACTGATAGACAAGAGTTTCTATCTTAACAGCTCTTAGTACTCATGCACAGCAGTACTTAAATGTTCCTGCTGAGATAGCCATTAGTGAGTGTATATAAGTGTAGAGTATGAAACGTTTAAGCACACAGAATATTCTATTTCTATGTACTTTTTACACTAATTCCTACTTTATTAAAATTAGATTTTAAGTCTACAGGTACAGAATTCTCTTTTTCAAAATTTATTGTATAGCACCTAGTAATTTGAGGCATTTTATATCTAAAAACAATTGATAAACCTGCAGTTTAAAGAAATAAGGAAGTCTAGTGAATTTTATTTTCACCTTGAGCAGTAAGAATCACTCTCAAACAGCCAGGATGAAAGCCTTTCTGAAATGGAATGACCAACGGTCTTGAAAGTGCCATGGACAATGACCATATGTGAACAAATAACATTTTACAGTCTAGATCTAGGCTTTAGCCATCTAGTCTGTACTTCCCAAATTCCCATACATTTGTGAAGACAGCAGAAAATAGGGGTTTTTCCCTTCTGTAAGTCCTAGCAGCTCAGACCACTTATTTCATTCTGGATTGCTAGCATAAGAAAATTGGATCTAAACAGTTTATGCTTTTTTAAGGTGAGACTAGCTGTGACTCCAAGATGACCAGAGCAGCGGAGTGGAAGACACATAAGTAAACTTCACCAATGTATAGGATCCATGCATATACTTACTATCTCAGACCGTCCATCTCGGCACGCATTCTGAAACCTGGCCTGTCTTTCTTCATGTGGTCTGTCCCTGAAGCCAGTGTATTTAATCTGCAATAAGCACAAGCCAAATCAAAACCTGAATCCTGCCTTCTGTACAATACCAGGGAAGAGATAAGGGCAAGCCTACACAGATACAAACTGAATACAATATTCTACTTCCAGAGAGGCTGAGAAGAGGGTGCTCTCCTCCCCAAGAAATACTTCTGTACACAATTCATCTTTAGACATTATTTTAAAAGCCACACTATGATTCCCAGCTTTGTATTTGCCCACCTTTGAATAAAAGTGCTAAGAGCAAAATATTCATAGACAATGAAATGGAAAAGGACAAGCAAGGAAATGTTATTGGGGAGAGAGATGTCAACATTGTTCATGCAGCAGGCAAACAATGAAACAAAGTCTCTTCTAAAAATTCAGTACTTGGGATAGGATGTATTGACCATTAAACATGTAAGTTCAACATCTCCACAGAAAGGACAGAAGGCACAAAGAGGACAGCTGACTCAACACACCACGAACATGTGTGTAAAGAATGCTCATGGTGGAGAGGCACTAAATATTTCACAATTAGTTTGCATCTAATAAGGAAAGAAAAACAAGCACTTTAACAAGATTACAATAATTAGTAGAGCTGCACTCAGATCCTGCAACTTCTGTGTGAATTGCATATTATATATAAGAAAACAATGCAAATGTGGATGTATACAGTGGTACCTTGGGTTAAGAACTTATGTATAAAGAATTATCATGATGCATAGATGCAGCAGCAAATGGAAACAAGACAAAAGAGAATGCACAATCCAGCACAGAATTTACCATTCAGTTTTGGGGCAGAAGGAAGCAAAAGAGAAAATACAGCAGATGATATTAAAGGGTTTGTATGTGTGAACTACTCCAGCTTAGAAATTGGAAGCTGAACTTCTAGTTTTAATGGCATTAGTAGCATCTGATGCAATAAATGCCAGATACGGACACTATGAGCACATAATGAGAAAGGGGAAATAAAGAGCTGCCACATGTGCTCCAAATTCAGGAAGTCCCTCCACCGCTGAATATGGAACATGTTCACAAGATCCCATGCTAATGAGTATTGTATAAGTCAACACAGTTCGCTCCAGTTTTCTCCTTTAAAATGTTAAAAACAATACCCCTCTCAAATGAAAAAAGTCAGTATCCCCAACTAATTAGCACTGAGCACATTTGCTATAGGGAAACAAAAAGTCTGAAATATTTGAGCTACTCAATGTCCACTGCAACCATCCTATGCAAGGTTATTAATCTTTAGCCAAAATTAATCAGTGTGGAATAACTACTGTTTTGCCATGTTCTACATGCATGTATCCACACCCATCAACACAAGGATTATAATTTCATATTTCACCTAACATAAGCATACATTGTAAGGGGCATAAAAGTACTATTTAACCACATATTTGTGTGAAAAGGTGATTAGGGACATAAAAATGCATGTGATCCAGGACTCCCCCCCCCAAATATTTTCCTTGGACAAAAGAGATAGCATCCTATGACAGCTGCACAATCATATGAATTGTTAAACTCCTCCATGCCGATACCCACACCCCAGGGCCCCTGCACTCAAAACCAGGGAAACTTAACAGCAGTGGATTTCCTTTTCTTCTTTCACTACATGCTTTGGACAACAAATGTTCAACATCGCTTATGTGAAATAAGTTGTAACTACATTGTCACTATCTGATAATATACACCAGTCTGTCCAAAGAACAACTTCCCATTCTTTCTCAGCACATACTTATGTGTAGCTAGTAACCCATATTAGCAACAGAATTCAAGTCATTATTATCACCTAATCAATTACGAAGAACAAGCAGGGTATATAATACACTACATGTTGTTAAGCGGGTGGCAGGAGAATAGAGGTCACTTTTTCCTTTTGGTGTGGAGCAGAGGATAAGAAGGGCCAGTCTGGGTGCCCCAGTGATGTTAGGGAGAGCACACACACACACGCACACACACACACGTGCACACACACACACACACACACACACACACAATAAGGACTTTTAGTATCTTTATTTGGTAGTAATCCCTATTCTGATGTATTAGCTGTATAGGAGGTCTCTGCCTTAACAGATATAGGACTGCATTTCCCTGCCTTCTGCTTACTTGGAAGTAAGCGTTCCCTTTCCCATGCAACCTGAACAGGGTTCAATAACCACACACCACCCTGAAGCATGTGATCCTAGACCTTTCTAGGGTTGGCGCAGCATTCCTGCTACATACTCATTGAAAAACCCTAGTTGCTGTTGTCCATTGCTCCAAAGTACCAGGGATAGATAGGTTTTTCTCAGTGTTGGCTCTATCTTTGGAACTGCCTCCAAAAGGCAATACTGAAAAGGTATTGCTACTACTATAAAAAAATCCAATAATAATCTGAAGACACTTTCAGTCAAGTCTGTGTTTGGTTCAATAGTACTGTTACTTCGGGGCGGGAGGCTGATGTTGCTTTTTTACAAAGTAAAGTTGCTTTCATGTATTTTCTTCTTTTCCCCCTCCTCCTCCCTTTCAATTCCTCTTCCTTTTGGATTGCTTCTTTTAGATTATAAGCCTGAGGGCAGCGACAGTTCTATCACTGACATTTGTAAACTGCTCTGGGAGTACAGTATCTCCTGCCATTGAAAAGTGAGGTTTTTTATTTACTTAAAAAACTGAATTAATTAAGTGTAATTAACGTGTGTATTAAGTCTTGTAAATCACCTTGTGATGGCAGCGTATCCTGAAAACTGGGCTTTTAAAAAAGAAAAAAGAAAAACATTTTAAACGACACAATAATAATGCGTTGGGCTGCCTGGGGAGTGGCTTCTCTCCCCAAGGGTGCTTCCAAACGGGTGCTTATTGTGGGAACAACGCTCACGCACGCAGGTTTTTCACAGCATCCACACGACGCCGTTGGCATCAAAATGTCACCTCTCTCCTCTTTCACCGGGCTGTAACTTCTCTTTAAAAAAAGAGTGGGTGGGTGGGTGCTTCTAGAGAGGGGTAATCATTGCAAAACGGGTCACTCAGTTATCAAAGAGGGGCAACAAGTTTTCTTCTTCGATTTATCAGATCCCACTCCTTTGAAGGATAAATCTGGATTAAGTGGACAGCCACAAGGAGCCCCCATCATCCCATAACTAACACCAAGTTTTGGGTTTGGTTTTTTTTGTTTGTTTTAAAATCCTGCCTGCGATATTAAACTCCCACCCACCCCGCGCCCCTCTCTGAGAGCAAAACTCCACCGCAGGACAGCAGAGCGCTGCCATCGCCGGCGCGAAGTTTCCTCCTTCCTCTCCGCGCCGCCTTCCCTCGCCCCCTCCCTCTCCGGCGGAGAAGAAGCGGCGCCTGCCCGTCTCCTTCCTCCCGCTCCCTTCTCTCTCCCCTGCCGGCGGACTCCGCCAGAGGCCGGCTGCCCGCTGGGCACGGAGTCGCTCTCCGTCTCTCTCTCTCCCTCGGTCTCCCTGCTCCACTTCCGCCCCGCGCTCTCTCCCTCCCTCCCTCACCTCGCACTCTCGGCTCAGCTTCCTGAAGAACTCCTCGTTCTCGAACTTGCTGCGCTGGTCCGGGACGACCCGCGGCATCGTGTGGCCGAGCAGGAAGCGGCGGCTGAGGCGGCGAGCGAGCAAGCGGTCTTGGGCAGGAGCGAGCTCGGCGGCGGCGGCGGCGGCGGCAGTAGCAGCGAGAGCCGCCGCCGCGACTGACTGAGCCGAACCGTCCGCTTCTCCCTCAGCGGCGCTCGAGCCCCACCTCCGCCTTTCTTCGTTCACCTCAGGCGAAGCCGGCTTTTGTCGCCGTCGCTGAGGGGAGGAGGAGGGCGCGGCGGCGGCGGCGCTTCAACGAAGCCCAACTGCTTTTGTATATATACATATATATCTTGTGAGGGTTTCCCCCCCTCCCCTCCTCTCTCTCTCTTTCCCCTCCTCAAGCCGCCGCTTCCGTCTTTATTTCCCTCCCTCACACAACCCAGAAAGGGGTGGGTGGTGGGTGAGAGAGAGAAGAGAGACTCGACGCGGGCGGGCGGCAAACGGTCGCGTCTCGCCCCGATGAGGCGTCTCTGGAGCCACTGAGGGAGAAGGAGCGGCGTCTCTCTCTTTCCCTCCCTCCTCCCGGTTTCTCCTCGCAGCGCGCGCGCGAGTCAGAGAGAGCGAGCAACTTCCCTCTCGCCCCTCCCCTCCCGGAGTACTCCGGCCAAACACCCTCAACCATTCACAACTAACTGCTCCTAAGGCGAAGGAGCGCGCGGCGTGGGATTTTTTTCCCCTCCCCTCTTCCAGACGGGGCTGGCCGAGCGCGCATGCGCCTCCTCCTCTTCCTGGGGTTTAGATGAGGGCGCGAGGGTCCCATCACTAGTACACGCGCGTACTGGTGCTCGTGTCGGAGAAAGTAGGGCTGGGGGGGGGGCAGAAGTCCAGCGCCCCCTCCTCACTCATTCAGGAGAGAGGGGAGGAGGAGGGTTCCCTGCCCTAAATGCACCGTGGAGCCGGCGCGCTACATCGTTGTTACAATTTGTTGCTGTTATATTGTGATATTATTGGCGTTCGTGCTCCTTCGCTGGGAGGTTTTTAAGCAGAGGTTGAATGGCCATCGGTCAAACCTACAATGACATGATTCTATGTTAATACTTTGTTTCTTATACCCCGCTTATACTACTATCGCGACTAGTTTTATTATTGTTAATATATTGCTAAGTAGAAATCATGGAAGGTACTCCAAAGGTCATCTAGCCGAACCCCATGCCGATGTAGGTGAGGCATATTTGGCATCCGAGGCTGCAATCCTAATCCCACTTAACTGGGAGCAAGCCCCATGAGATGGTGAAACGAGATGTAAGACCACCATCCCAAATTACCAAGTTGCGCCACTGTGTGCCGTCCTTCGCTGAGACGGATGCCTTTTACTTCTTAGGAAGCAAGTTTGGGATGGGTCTTCTGCAGCCCTAACAGCCCCGCTAATTCAGCAGCTTCAACACACGCAAATAAGTTGCGCGCGCCCTCGGCCCGATCCGATTAGTATTTGGTCAGAAGTCAGTTCCGCTGATTTCAGTGGAGCTTTTTCTTCGCCTGACATTTGCAGCCAGAAGCATCTGGATCCGTCGCAAGGCTAATGCTATGCAAGCCACACTGGAGCGTAAACTTCGAATATGCAAGACGGTGAAAAACCCCCATTGAGATCAATAAGTTTAGACGTGGGTGTAGCCAGGATTTATGTTAGGGGGCGGAACCGAGCCATCTGCTACGCGGTTGGTCACTTAGTTAAGTATTTTTATTTATTTACTTGATGGGGGGGGGCAGCTTCCGTCCCCTGCACACACATCCCTGGCTAAGCCCATGGGGTTAGACACGACCTAAGTCTGCATACTTTAGGGATACAACTTTCCACACATCGCATTGGGAAGTTGTATTGCACAAACGCCTAAGCTGCGTTAGACCAGAAATCAGCCGTTTGGGAGTTATAAGCGGTATATAAATACAGAAGGCGATAAAGAAGTATCTAATAAGGACAGGCTGATTTCGTAGTAAACGTAGGATCGGGTTGCCCGATTGCAGTTCCAGCGCGCATCAGCTGCGAAGAAAGAAGCTACATCGAAATCACTGGGTTTTACTTCTGAGTAAACATGCATGAGGTCGGACTAGAAGGTGTGTGTTGACCGGGGAAGAGACTCTTTAAGTTGCTGCTGGTTGCAGATAAAGGAGAAAAGGAAGAGGGTGGAGTTGAGTCATTTGAGCCCCCCCCCACTCGCCGCCGCACAAACTCACACATAAAGCTCTCACACACAGTCGCCTTGTCTCGCTGGTTTCCGGCTTCCTGCCTGCAATGGGCAGAAGGCAGTAGCAAAGCAGCAGCTTTGAGTCCTGGGAGCTGCTGTTAGGCAGAGGTCCAGACGGCTCAGCCGAAACGCCTTGCCTGCATCCATGATAATGCTACCTGCCCTTGTTACCCTGAGGGCAGCAGGAAAGCAAAACATTGTATGTAGTGGAGGAAAAATAAAGTCACAAAATCACAGTACAGTAATCTCTTCAGTAGTACAGATCAAGTCCCCCAAGTCAGGAGTGCAGCTGTCAAACTCAGCACATCATTCTAACCAACCAGTCAAGGGCCTCCTGGAAACTTGCATGAGCAGGACAAAGGTGTAGAAAAGTCATCCTGTCTTTGGCCCATAGAGCTTCTGAATAAGGAAGCGCTATTCTTTTATCAAGGTTGGCGAATGGGTATACTCACCCTGAGAAGGAATTGTGTTTCCCCTGCAGCATAATGTTATCAAGTGCTGAAGAAATGTGCCTCTCTAACATCAGAGATGTTTTAATCTCTTTTTTTAACTGTTGATTTTAACTGTTTTTAAATACTTTTAATACTTGTTTTAACTGTTTGTATTGATAATTTTAATACTTTTTGTAACTTGCTTATAGGTTTTGTTACAATCAAGCAGTATATACAAATAAAATTATGTGTTATATTTGGAGAAATTAAGCCTAAAATACTGAGTGTTCATGAGAACTTGCTTTTTAAAAATTTGCAGACTTTACATGGAAAAGTGTATTATGCAATGCAGTTCTCCAGCCAAGTAATTAAAAAAAATGCATATAGTAAGGTAAAGTGTGCACAAGCATGCATGCATTAGAGAAAATGACATACAAAAAAATGCATTATACGTGGGGAAAATGACTTCTGAAAAAGTATACTGGCAACTGCATAGATAAATTTGCAGTAAAATGGTGACAGATTTTCATGAGGACTTAAAAATGAACCCTGCAAACTGATGTGAAAATGTGGGGAACTGAAGATGGGAAAAATTAGAATCTGAGAGAAACCAAACCTGGCAGATCTGCCCATCTCTAATGGTGAGTTGGCCCCAGGGAATTTCTCTGATAGTGATCTTCCTTGGGCAGAGTCTCTGCTTGCATCTGACTCGGCAGGCCTTGTTCCTCTGACTGATGACAGGGGTCAGGATGTGTTTCCTCTCTCTCTAGGGCAACTGGCAGCTGGAGCAGAGTGTGGCAGGGAACTCCCTGCAGCTGCCCCTCTTGATGGATGGAGCCAGCCTGCTCTTCCCCTTGTCATGATGTTCTCCCTAGGAAGTGGTGGGAGCGTTCTGATTTGCCACCAGGGACATTATATGAGGTTGCAGCAAGCAATTGTTACCCCACATTTCTGATGCATAAGAATATAAGAAGAGCCTGCTTGACCAGCCCAATGGCCCATCCTGTTCTCACAGTGGCCAACTAGATGCCTGAGGGGAACCAGCAAGTAGGACCCAAGCACAAGAGCACTCTGCCCTCCTGTGATTTCCAGTGACTGGTATTCGGAGGAATAACACCTCTGACAGTTGCCATCATGGCTAGGAGCCATTGAGAGCCTTGTCCTCCATGAATTTGTTGAATCCTCTTTTAAAGCCATCTAAGTTGGTGGCCACCACAACCTCTTATGGGAAGGAGTTCCATAGTATAACTGCACTGCCTAAAACTTTGCTTATAGGAAAAAAATTGGATGTGTCGGGGGGAGCAGATTTGTCACACAAGAACAACAAATCACATTTCGGTGGCTCCTCCCAGGCTTTGGAAATCCCTTCTGAGAGAGGCTAGAAGGGCTCTTTGTCTTTCCACCGGCAGGTAAAGCCTATTTTATTCCAGCAGGCTGCTGAGAATTGACTGCCTATAAGGAAAGGGCTCTTTACATTGTCCTGTACTGCTTTTTAATACTGTATTTTAATAGATATGTTCTTTTTACATTGTTTAATTCTTTTTAGCCATAACTTTTTATATGTTACTAGCTATGTGTGTTTTATTTGTATCTGTTTCCATTTTTGTGAACCACCTTGAGTCCAGGTTCTGGGAAAAGGACAGGATAACAATAATGATGAAGATAACAAAACAATAATAAAAACAACAACTTTAATTGTATAACCTGAATTTGCCTGTTCGTGATTGAATCACTCTCTAAGAAAGTAGCAGTGTGGAAGCTCCATTTATTACTTTTTCTTTCAAAAAAAGAATATTAGGCTGAAAACCCAACTCCACTTACCTGGGAGAAATCTCCATTGAGTTCAATAGGACATATTTCTGGGTAGACATGGTTAGAACTGCAGCCCAAATCTAGCAGGTTTAGATGAACCAGACAGAAGAGTGAATGAGTTGGGGAAGGATGGCCTAATCCAAGCTTCTGTGGGAGTATGCATAAAAACTCACACCCTTCAACCTTGCAACGCAAGGAATGGGGATACAATTTGCACATTTGGCAAAAATACTTGTGTGAAACAAGGCCCTGTGAATGATGTGGCATATGAAGAGGGTGTGTGGACTGAGGAGAGGTCCAAGGGCCAGATAGAGAGGTATGGAGGGCCGTATTTTGTCCTCGGGCACAATATTCAGGCACAATATTCCAGAATTCTTCTGGGTAATGCTTCCTTTCTCTACTTTAGCCCTGTCAGGCAAACACGAGTTCAGGAATATTGCACTGGCCTCGTAGTGTGTCATCCTGGCCACAGCCAGCAATTGAGGACATTTGGTAAACACAAATGCATTTCCCTTGAAGTTCACCCGTACTCAGGATTTGCTCCTTATTATGAATGATGAGTATTTTTAAAAACACATATAGCTGTGTCCAATCTTTCTGGGATCAATGTTACCTGCCAGCAGTAGGCATCTGCACAAGATCAGCCAAAGTCTTTCATCATGGAGATCCAACCAGACCTTTATCACCAGTAATCCTCCCACCCTATGTATGATCCCCTCCAATTTGCATCGTTTACTACATTTAACATTGTCTCTGCATAATGGTAGCAAACGCTTGTGCCATTGACAAAAACAGGATTTTCTGCTTGCCTAGTAATTTGCTACTGGTTGATTTGGCACATTCCAGATTTAACCCAGGGACAATGGACATGATCCAGAGCCCAGCAGGTATCTGGAGTGTCACCTCTAGTACAGTGGTACCTCAGTTTAAGAACAGTCCTGTTTACGAACTATTCGGTTTACGAACTCCGCAAAACCGGAAGTAGTGTCCCGGTTTGCAAAATTTACCCTGGTCTAAGAATGGAAGCGAATGGTGGAAGGCCTCATTAGGGAAAGCGTGCCTCGGTTTAAGAATGGATTTGGTTTACGAACGGAAATCCGGAATGGATTAAGTTCGTAAACCAAGGCATATGTATGTGGCAAATGAAGCTTGTGTCCATGCCATTGCCAGCAAAAGCCTCCTTGTGGCATGTGTTGTTCTGTGTTTATAAA